TGTGAACCGTTAGCTGCAATAATCAATAAATCTCTGAGTGAAGGTTCTAAATGAAATTAAGATTGGAAGAATTGTTCCTGTCTACAAAAGCGGCATGAAAGATATATTTGATAACTATAGACCATTTTGTATTTGTTCTGTATTTTCCAAGATATTAGAAAAAATAGTCTTTAATCAACTATGCTATGAATCTCAATAAAAACAAACTACTATCAAATAGGCAATATGGATTCATAAAAAAATCATGTACGGAATCTGCAATTATTGATTTAATAATATGGTTCAAAATTTAAAAGATAAAAAAAAAATTGTGGCATTAGTATTTATCGATTTATCTAAAGCATTTGATATGGTTAACCACGATAAAAGTTACAAGGATTTGGTATCAAAGGTCGAGAATTTACTTTTTAATTTATATGTTGACAGTTTACAATCTCTCAGAAAAAATGTTGATATATTTCTATATGCTGATGATATTTGCCTCGTTTTCGAAGCAGAAAACTACAATCAGTTGGAACGTAAAATGAATGTTAAAATTGACAATATATATGAATGGATGTGTACACAGAAACTTATGATCAATGTCAACAAAACCAAATTCATGATCATTGGGTCACTATCTCCAAATTTAGACATATATTTAAATAACTTCTTGAAGTTGTAACGGAATATAAATATGTTGGACTGTGGATTGATTCTCAATTAAAATGGAACGTTCATACATCAAAATTACAAAAAAAAACTTGCTGGGGTGGCAAGCGTCTTTAGAAGAATAGCACCACTGATTCCTAATGCTATTAAAAAATCAGTTTATTATTCGCTATTTCATAGCCATGTAAGTTATGGAATCAAATTGTGGGGTTCATTTACACAAGAATCAATTAGCATGCTCCAAACTATACAAAATAGAGCTTTAAAAAACCTATTCAACCATAATTGAAGAGCTCGAACGGAGTATATTCGTGAAACACATGAAGTTCTGCTGATAGAAGACTTTATCAAAATAAAATTAACTCTTCACATACATGATTTGTGTAACTTTAATTTTCATTCTACAACAGTACTGACAAAAAGAAATGAAATACATCACAGGAACACTAGAAGCGAAGGTTTATTACACATAAACAAAAAAAAATACCTAAAAGTTTGGTACTTTAACTTCATTTCATCGTGCATTAAATCTGTACAATAATCTCGAAAATGATTTGAAAGTATTGGATGCTTTTCACCTTAAAAAAGAATTGTTCAACAAGGCACTAAAGGGTTACTGTTCAACACGAATTTTAATTTAATTTTTTTTTATTTTTATATATATATATATATATATATTTTTTTTTTTTTTTGTTTTTATTGTCTTCTATTTCTTCTATATAGTTTATTTTTTTATTTTTAAAAATAAAAAAAAAAAGAAATAATTTGTTATACAGACTTGCAATATTTCTAAGTTTCAAAAGAACAATTTCTAAGTTCTTTGTATATACATGCATGTATATACAAAGAACTTAGAACAATATATATATTGATGTTATCTTTACACATTTTGTTTTTTTTTTCTACGTTTATTACATTGCACATTATACATAGTCTTAACATGAGAATTTGAAATCATTCTCTTTAGACATTTTGAAATAAAAAAAACTTTTTAAAGACCAAACCTTGTATCAATCAAATGTACTAATTTCTATTATATTTTATAATTAATTCTGAATATACGTCCAAGAGAAAGAAAAAGAAATCTCTTGTGGTCAACACATAACCGATCGCAATGCGTATTGTACAGTTTAGTGAGAGTGTTAAAAGAGATTTATAAAAACGCCTTTTAAACACAATTTTTAGGGCGTTAGTAAACTTTTAGTTAACATACCTACAAAATTGTAATTTTGGTTCTTAGTAGAGTTTCGCTTTGTGCGATCCAAATTCTCTAAAAAGCTCACTTTCGGTAAAAACCAGAACTCAAATATCAAATTTCAAGAAATCCTATCAATTCGTTTCGTAGATATGATAAAAAATGTAAATTCGGCCCCTAGTTCGGCTTCCGAGCCGTTTTATAGTTTGTCATATGTTCATTGTTTTTACTCTCCAAATTTAAATATTAAATTTCAAGGAAATCGGTTGATTATTTCGGTATTTTCGACACTAACCGAACTTGTTTGGAAGCAATATTATATCAATAATTTTTTATAAATTACCGTAAATTATACTCTCATCTTTGCTAAATTAATAAAAGTTGCACTTATTGTTATAATGAAATCACATATACGAAGATAAAAAACCATAAACACAAAATATTTAATCCACAATTTTGGATATACTCACTTTAAATTTCATAACACAAACATAAATCTCAGTTATGTATATTATAAAAGTGTCGTTTTTCTAAAAGGTTTTTTTAAATTTTTTCTAGAGATTTGTTGTTCTGAAGAATTACCAGAAGTCGAAATTATATCGCTATTAGAAGAGAGAATTCCGAAATACAAAGTCAGATCAGATTTTCTTACAGAGTTTGCAGGTTATACTAATCAAGATTGGTTTATTCCTGCTCCTGCGCTATTAATTCCCGCTGAAGGACTAGATTTAACGAAAGATCAAATTAGAGAAACACTTAATTATTTTCGTAAGTATAAATTTTTTAAATTATTTTTTGTGCATGAATATTATTGTTCAAAAAAAACGTTGTAATATTTTGTTGCAAACTGTTTAATAATAGTGGCTATTGTGAGAAATATCTAAGAGCGTCTACAAAATTAAAAATTTAAGTCACCTAAATTTTTTGAATTTTGGCACATTTTGTTGGAAGTGGAGTTGATTCGATCCTTGTTTACCAAAATGTCAAAGCCAACATTGATTGATTTTTGCAAAATAAATTCTTAACATACTCTTAGTATAAAGAAACAAAGTTACTTAGAGAATTAAGAATGCACAACAGCACCTCACCCTCTCTCTATTCTCCCGACTTGTCAGATGCAGTTTATTAAGTCGATGTCTGACCCTTCCCTGTTCTTACGAGATCATCAGCACTTTCATTTATTTCACTATGCCAGGGATTCAAAAGCGGTCTATAAAGACCCCCAAAGGTCCATAAAGACCTGCTAAGGTCTACGAAGATACTAAAAAAAATCGGGTCTATCAAATGAAAATGACGGTCTACGAACTGAAAATATTAAATTCTATAAAATATCTCATCTATAAACCTAAAATTCATTTTTTTCCCAGCTTTCTCTTCTTCATACCTTGTAGAAAAGGGTTTCAGTTTCACAGTTATGGATCTCATAACAAAAAAAAGAAACAAAGATAATCTCAAACAAAGATAATCAAAAACCTCACTAAATTAATACAAAATGTTCATAATTTATTATCAAACCGTCAAATTCATGCCTCCCAATAATTTATTTTCTTTTTATATAAATATGTAAAATATAAAATCTTATGTAGTCAGCACATAACCGACCGCAATGTGTATTGTCTAGTTCAATGAAAGTGTTAAAGAATAACAAATTATAAAAATGTCTGTTAAATACTTCTTTCCAATTTTTGGGGCATTAGTAAGGTTACAATTAACGTACCTAGAAATGTGTAAACTTGGCTCTTGGTAGAGTTTCGCTTTGTGCCAGCCGAATTCACAGAAATGCTCGTCAGTTAGTTTCGGTAACAGCCAGAATTCAAATAACAAATTTCAAGAAATTTCATCAATTCGTTCCGTAGATATGGTAAAAAATGTAAAATCGGCCCCTAGGTCAATTTCCAAGTCTGATTTTTCCAAAAAATGTATAGATTCATTTTTTCGGTTGATTATTTCTACTTCTATACGCAAAAATGCATATTTGGCCTTTAGTAAACGTCCAGGTGCTGACGCCAGATTTCTTCCAAAAGTTAGCAGGTTGCGCGTACGGTCGAATGAAGCTTATACATACATATATGAAATCTGCTGAATATTTTCTCAAATCTGTTTTCATATAAATATTTTGGATATTACAAATATCATTAGAAATAATTTTGCAAAGCAAAAATAGTCAAATTAGCAATACTGTAACTAAAGGTATTAAAATTTTAAAATATGATAAAACTAAATTTAGATCAAAAATTACTAGGAGCAATATTATGACAACTTATTATACAAATTGTAATATAAAAGCTAATAACTTTAGTATCAACCTCCGTGAGATAGTAAGTGAGTTTTGCGTTTTCAAAAATATAAAATCTTCTACTTGCACCTGGTATACAAGCTATCTGGAAAATTTGAAATTACAAAGAAATCAGCAATACAATTTAGCGGTTTGGCTTAATACTAGTCAAGAGTGGAGAAAATATAAAAATTTCAGAAATTTATATAAAAACAAAGTTAATCAAGCAAAAAATAAATTTATTCGTGACAAAGTTGAAAATTCGCAAGATCAGAAATCAATGTGGACCAATATAAAATCTTATGTTTTAAATAAAAAAATAAGTGAAATTTCTGATATTAATTTTGATGATGAAATTGTTAAAGATAATAATCTACTTGCTACCAAATTCAACGAATATTTTATAAATAATATTAATGAAATTAGTAAAAAAATACAAGATTTACCTTATTCAAATATGATTGATTATTGTACTTCAGAATTTAAATTTAAACAAATTAATTTAGAGGATCTTGAACTTTTGCTAAAGAGCATGAACAATAAAAAAGATAATAATTTTGTAAGTGTGAAACTACTTCTTGATTCTTTTGATTTGATTGGAGGAAATTCACTTACAATAATTAATAAATCGATAGAAACCGGTATTTTTCCAGACATCTGGAAAGAGACAATAGTGGTTCCAGTAGAAAAAGTGAAAAATACAAAAAAGTGCGAAGAATTTCGCCCAATCAATACTATTTCTACAGAATTGAAAAAATTATAAATGCACAACTGGTCGAATATTTGGAGAAGTTTAACATAATATACGAGAATCAATCTGGGTTCAGAGCAGACCATAGTTGTGAATCATTGTTAAATCTAGTAATTACAAATTGGAAGATGAAAATACACGATAATAAGGTTATATTAGTTGTGTTTTTAGATTTACAAAGAGCGTTTGAAACTGTTAATAGAAACATCTTACTAGAAAAACTGAAAAAATATGGAATACGAAACATGGAACTTAAATGGTTTGAGTCATATTTGAGCAACAGAACTCAAAAAACAAAAGTTAATAATTCAACTTCTGATTCTTTGGGTGCTTCTATTGGTGTACCACAAGGCAGTGTTCTTGGCGTTCTCTTGTTTTTGATATATGTTAATGATATGGCAAAGGTAGTTCAGCGATCTAAACTGGTATTATTTGCAGATGATGCTTTGTTATATGTGTGTTGTGATGCTGTTGAGGAGTGTGTTAATATTGTTAACGACGATTTAAATAATCTATGTTGCTGGTCCAAAATGAATAAACTTAAATTAAATATCAATAAAACTAAGTTTATGCTGTTCAACAGTAATTATAATGTCGACATTTTGATTGATAGCAGTAAAATTGAAATAGTAAATGAGTTTAAGTATTTGGGCATAATATTAGACGATAAATTAAGTTTTAAGAGCCATAACAACTATATATGTAAAAAAATTTCCAAAAAAATATACTTCCTATCAAAAATAAGAAAAAAATTATCACTTTTAAATGCAATAAAAATATACAATGTAATTATTAAACCACATTTTGAGTATTGTTCGTCTGTTATTTTCATGTTTTCGCAAGAACAATTCGATAGACTACAAAAATTGCAAAATAAGGCCATGAGAATTATCGTGAAAGTTGAAAAATACACCTCAATAAACTACATGCTGAGTACGTTAATTTGCTTGACAGTCTATCAAAATGTAATTGTAAATATATTAATAATAGTTTTCAAAATGAAATATAAGCTGTATCCAACATATTTATGCAACAGATTGATGTATTCAGGTGATATCCACAATTATAACTTAAGAAACCTTTTTAATTTTCGATTGAACTTTTTTAAAAAAGAGAAAACAAAAAATATGTTAATGTATAAAGGTTCAAATTTATTTAATAATCTACCTCATGAAATTAAATAGAGACTAATTTCAAAAATTTTAAAAGAAAATTAATACAATATGTAAACCATTTTTAGAATTAAATTATATAGAATTATAAAAACATGTTTATAAATAATGGTTAATATACATATACCAAATAAAGAATTAAACTAAACGATATTTTCTTCATAATGATCAAAAATATAAATTAGGGCCGCTAAACACTGCAGTTTTCGAGGTCTGATATATCCCAAAAGTTGATGAAACCCATAGTCGAAATAAACTTAGAAATAAAATTTCGTCAAAATCGATTCAGCCGAACTTGAGATACACGCGCGCACACACAAGCAGACAGACCGACAAATCGGCAAGTTGCTAAAAATAGTTTATTTACACTTCCTTACCATGGGGAAGTGCGTTTCGTACCTATTTTGTACACAATGCGGTCGGTAATTATAGGATACTGTTTTAATTAATGAGATATTATTATGCAGGATGTTTCGAATAAGATGGAAAATTTCCGGGATGAGTTGTTGATCAATTTTCAACAAAAAATAGTATGGGTGGGGTGGGTACAGATATACTCATTTTTAAGCTTTAGCCTTTTGAACAAAACAGTACCGGAATTTTCCTATACACAAATGCTTATAATTTTTGTGCATATAAATAAATGCCTATAGCTTCGGAATCATGCGACATAGAGAAACCATCGAGGGATTGCTTTTCAGGCGATTGATTTTTCTTTATTTTCGGTCTTGCAATCAATTTTATTTGAGCTATAGGTTTCGAAATAAAGCTTGTCTAAATCAAATTTTTTTTTTTTAATATATTAAGAAACTCGAAATTTCTCGAAAATTCACATTATAATTTTTTTTTTGCTTTTTCGATGCGCTACAATGAGATCCGAAATTAACCCGTCTCACACTTTCCTCTATCTCTCACAGTTTTACCAATAAAACGTGGAATGGAATCCCCAGGGTAGGAGAAACATCGGCAGGCCTAAGAATACATGGAGAAGAACAATAGAAAAAGAAATAACAGCTGCAGGCAAGACTTGGGCGCAAATAAGATCTATCGCCCAAAATAGAGAGAGATGGAGAGGTTTAATCGAAGCCCTATGGTCCTCAATAGGAGTTTGAAAGGAAAAAAAAAACTAGGACTGATCTGTTCTCTATATGGAAAAATTTTGCAAATTTAGAGAATTTGTCCACGCATGATGATGAATTGAAGTTTGTCACTTCAATATTTCCGTAGGATATGGTGGAATTGGTGTTTTTTGCAGGTCTGGCTTGTAAGGGTGCCTGTCGTATTTGTTGGTGTTGCATACTTCACAAGTTTTGTAATATATCTTCTACTAATCTTTGTGTAATGCGAATTTAGTAATTTTTGAAGTGGTCTTTATATATTTCGTTAAGCATTTGAATATATTTTTCAGAAATTTTTATACCGTTAGTTGCTGTTGGATTTAGTTTGTTTTAGAATTCTCGTTAACGCTTCTATATTTATTTCTGGCAAGGTTATAAAGTGTTTTTTGTATAACTTAAACGGTTCCTCAGTTGCGCAAAATTCTTTTCCTTTTTTTATAACAAGCTGATTTTTAAATACGTTCAACGGTACTTCGCAGTGTGGTATCAAATCCATACCGTCTTCTTGTGCGCTGTGAGCCGTATCTGTTGATGATGTCGTTAAAACGTTGGCTTCCAGTTGCAGCCTGGCTTATAAATGAGCTCGTAGTTGAATTCTTCTATTCTTGCCTTCCACCTTTTCAATTTGGCATTATTGCTCCTGTTGCTCAGACTAAAGGTTGGCGGCTGGTGATTTGTTATCCAGTGCCCATATTATTGCCAACATCTATTTTTCATTTGTGCCATAGTTTTCCTCAGTTTTGTTCAATGATCTGGAAATATAGGCAATTGGACGATCTTTACCTATTTCGCCTTGTGATAGGACAGCTCCTATAGCCTGGTTCGATACATCTGTAGTGAGTATGAATGGTTTTTCAAAATCTGGAAATGCTAGTATTTCCGATGAAGATTTTAACCTTCTTTGACTGGTTTGCTTTTATCTGGCCCTGTTCACCTCTTGTAAGATTTGTTAAAGGCTTCGCCACTTTCGCAAAATCTCTTACAAATCGTCTATAATATGAAGCGAGGCCTAAGAATCCTTTCAGATCTTTCAGATTTTCGGGTGCTTTAATGTTTTTGATTGCGATGATTTTTTTAGGATCTGGCTTAATGCCATTGCTGGTAATAACGTATCCTAAAAACTCAGTTTCTTCCTTTAAAAATTCGGTTTTGTCCAGATTAACTTTTAACTTGGCTTCCTCTAATTTTGCGACATTTTTTAAGTGTTCTTCTGGTGTTCTTCCTCCATATATGATGATGTCGTCGATGTACACATAGCAAATTTTGCCTATGTATCCTTTAAGCACGTCGTCAATCATTCCTTGAAAGATGGTCGGTGCGTTTTTAAGTCCAAACGGTAACCTGTTGAATTCATTTTCCGTTAATAGTTGAAAACGCTGTTTTGGGGATGTCGGCTTCTTTCATTCTGATTTGGTGGAATCCGGACGTCAAGTCTAAAGTAGCGAAATATTTTGAGCCACTTAGGCTGGCTATTGTGTTTGAGATGTCCGGTATTGGGTATGTATCTGATGTTGTTATTTCATTTAAAATCTTGAAATCGATCACCATGCGATATTTTTTTACTCCTGATGCGTCCATTTTTTTCTCCACAATCCACACTGGTGAATTTTAAGCGCTCTCCGACTTCCTAATGATGTAATCTTCTAAAAGCTTCTTTATTTGGTTTTCGACTTCTGAACGCATGTTTGCTGGGTATGGATACGATTTAGTATATACCGGATCTTCAGTGCTTGTTTTTATTTCGGCTCCAACTGTTGTATTCACTGTATCTTTATTGTTCAGTGGGCCGAACAAATTTCCGAATTTTCCTATTAGTGCTGTTAAATTTTTTTTATATTTTCGTAAAAAATAACTATCTCGAAAGTCAATTTTGTTTACCTGGAATGACTTTTTATCTTTTAACGGAATTTTTATATTAGATGCGATTTTCAAGATGTTGTTTTTCCTGTATGTTACCGTTTCTAATTCTTTGAGGGTATCATCTCCAATTATTCCGTCGAATGACTCTAGTCCCGGAAGTAGTTAAAAATCTAATAAGGTGTCGTTTCCGATACTTGCAAAAAATTTTCCACTTATTTTTTCGTTTATGTTTATACTTCCTCCAGTTGATTTTATGAAAAACGGCTTTTTAATTGGTTTTGATTTTTGTGCTAATATGGGTTTTATAAAATTTTTTGTTCGCTCCGGTGTCGATGAGGAACTTTAGTAGTTTTCCTTGTTTCGTTGTATAGTCTAGGTATGGTACGCTAGAGAGGCTTCCGTCATAAAATTTAGCTCGTCTTCTGATTCCATCTGGTCTAAATCTTCGTAATTTCCGTATATAAATTCTTCGAATTCCGTTTCATTTTGTTGCTCTATATGAAACATTCTCTGCTGTTTTCGAGGGTGAAAGTCGGAACGATTTTCTCTTTTTTCCACTGTATTTTCCTCTAATAAATACGTCTAAAGCTTTGTTTCTATACGTTTCTATTAGCACTCTTATGGTTTCGGCGCTGTAGTCTTCAGTTTTGATCTTGTTCATTATAAGTGAAACCTGATGGTTTATTGCAGCATAAAATTCGTCCATCGTCATCTCTCTTTGGGTCAAGTTGCTTAGTTGGTATTCCAGCGTTCGAAAATCACGCTTATCTGCATAGTGTAGTGATAATATTTTTTTCATTGTCGGCCAATCGTCGTTGAAAACGTTGTAAGATACTAGGGCAGCATCGGCGTCTCCTCTAATTTTCTGCCGGATACTGTGTAGTATTGCTCGATATATTGGTTTTGATTAGACGATTTTGTAGTCTTCTAAGATGGTTTCTACGTTGTGGATCCATGAGATGTATTGCGATGGATCGCCGCTGAATATTTGCAGTTTCTTTACCGAATCCGGTAGTTTGCTGATTTTGTTTAGATCATCTTCGTTTTTGGGAGCTGCTGTGTACTGGCTCTGAGCTGCTCGGTACTGGCGATTTTTTCGCTGATTCTTTTAATTTGTCTAATCTTCTCTGAACACTTTTAAATAGGTCTAGCGTTTATCGCGCCGGTTAGTCGCGTGACAGCTTCAGCTAGCTCATCGATTTGTACCATTTTGTTATTTTTTATTCTAACTATTTTTTTTTTCTACACCAATTAATTTAGCTTATGATATTAAAAAATTTGTAATTTTGTAGTTTTAAATCTTGATTTTTTTTTATTTACATATTTAATATGTTTGATAGTTAAAAATATATTTTCTTGTAAATTTGAAGTTTTGTCTTTATTTTTAAATTGTTCAATAGGTTTGATAGTTGATTATATTTAAATATATTTGTCCTTAATTTCTTAATTATTTGATTTTTAGATTTTGTTTAATAAAATCAAAGTTTACTTACAGTAATGTAGAGGCCTTTATCATCTTTTGATTGGGTAGCCTTGATTATGCCCAGAGGAAAAATAAAGATTGATTTCCTATGAGTCTTAGAGAACCTGTATCGTTGTCCCGTGTCTTCGGCCGAATGAATCGTATTCTTCCCGTTTAAGTGTCAGCGTTGAAAATTGCAGACACCCTACTAATGGTACGTATTCACTCACTTAAATCGGTCTCCTTATTTAAAGCACAGTTTCAAGATTTAGTTTTGTCTTTTCTCTTTTAAGAGATTTTTGGTAAATTTTTCCACAAATTTTAGATTTCTGGTAAAAAAAAATTTTAACTCACTGCCTTGTTTAATTTTCTGGTAACTGTTTAATTAATTTTTTTCTAATTTTTTTTATTTTTACAGTTTTATTGGTCACAATTTTTTTACTGTCACAAAACTTTAATTTGTACTATTTTAAGTTTTTTTTTTACAATGAGTTTGCTTTACAATGTTTTACAAAATAAAACCTTAAAATTGTATAAATTAAAGTTTTGTGGCAATATTTTAATAAAAAATTGTGAACAGTAAAACGGTAAAAATTAATACTGTAAAAATTAAAATTAACTGTTTATTATTGAGTCGATATAAGGGATTCCGATTCGGGTCTCCCATGGTATTCTAAGCAACTAAGAAGGTTGCGTAATAGAAATAAAACAAATTTTGGCGAAAAGTGCTTTCAACTTGCGTATAATACATTCAAGTTAGCAGCTAAATAACATTATGATATGTATATTTTAAAAATTTCTGACAACATTGTGTATAATCCTAGAAATTTTTGGAAATCTATTAATCACAAGAGGAAATGTGATAGCTATCCAACTTTTTTGAAGTTGAACGGTTCTTCAAGTAATAATTCTAAGGTGATTTCTGAACTCTTTTGCGACTTTTTCGAATCGTACTCTTCCATTTACAGTGAATTTGGATGATTTTCGACACATAAATAACTTTCAAAAAACCGCTTATTCTAATTTTGCCACAAACTCGACTACAGTTAAAAAATGTTTACAAAACTTAGGTTCTAGCCCTTTTCCCGGGTCTGATGGTATTCCTGAAATAATTTTGAGTAGGTGCTGTTCTTCCTTAGCGGCTCCGTTATTTTTTGTTTTCAATAAGTCTTTCTCCTCACGAATATTTCCCTCCGTTTGGAAGGAAGCCTTCATTAGGCTGATTCATAAGAAAGGTAAAATATAGTCCTATTGCTAAGCTTTCGGCCTATCCAAAAGTTTTTGAACTAATGATACTGATGGCATTTACAGTGGGTGTAATAATATTGATGGCATTCCATTTATTAGTAGTTGCCAGCAAGGTTTTCTGAAAAAGAAATCAACGTGACTAATTTGGTGGAAGCTGCTTCGGTTTTTTTAAATAATAAGGAGCATGGGTGTCAAACGGATGTGATTTACCTTGATTTTAGCAAAGCCTTTTACGTTTTACCACGACGTAATTCTTTTGAAATTGAGGTTGTATGGAAGGAAATACAGGGTCCTTTTTCATTCAGCGGTGTTGTCCCCGCTTCTGACTAGTTCTGGAGTTCCCTAGGACAGTGACCTGGGTTCATTGCTCTTCATCATCGCTGTTAATGATGTAGCGTCTATTTTGAATTGCAATGAAGTGTTAATTTATGCTGATGATATGAAAATTTTCAAGTGAATTCGTTCGAAATTACGAAGTTTCTCTACAGAGTGATCTGGATAACTTTTGCGATGATGCACTAGTAACAACTTGAAAATGAACGTTAGCAAGCTCGCGATAATGTGTCATTCCAGGCAGAGACAACCAATAATATCAAATTATACTTTAAGTGATCAAGTTATTATTAGGGTTGATTCAATTAGGGGCTTAGGGGTTTAGTCTAAGATTTATTAAACGCTAATCAAATTTTCAATTATCAACGCTAATCAAATTTTCAATTATCAACGCTAATCAATTGGTCCTGACCTTCTACCACCAATATTTCTTTACAATTGTCGCTACATCCTGACAAACCCTCATACCTCAATATTTAACAGATCTATAATCCACCGGTATTCTTCCATCAGCTTGGAAAAATTTGTATCTGATACCAATTCACAAAAAAGGTGACAAAACAGCGATAGAAAACTACGGAGGTATTGCTATTCAGTCTGCTATCCCAAAACTATTTGAAAATTTAGTTACTAATATACTTGCGCCGGTCATCAATCCATTATTAAATAACGAGCAACATGGTTTTAGAACTGGTCACTCGACAACCTCAAATCTTACAGTTTTCACATCTGACGTTCTTTCATTAATGGAAAAAGGTTTTCAAGTTGATACGATATATGCGGATTTCAGTAAAGCTTTTGACCGCATCGATCACAATACCTTGGAGCGTAAACTAGTTAATTTTGGTTTTAAATACGCTCTACTAGGATGGCTCAAATCTTATTTCTCGAAGAGAACCCAATTCGTTAAATTCCAGAGGATTAAATCTAAACCTATTCGCGTTCATTCCGGTGTTCCTCAAGGAAGTCATCTAGGCCCTATTCTTTTCAATGTCTTTATTT